TCTGGAGTCCTGCTTTGCTTTCCACATGTGGGGAGAAAAGGCTGGCTCGGAGATTCCTGGGCGAATGTATATAGGTATGAATGTGTTTAGAAGTTTTTATTTTATTTTGTTTATTTATTTTTTTATTTTATTTTATTTTTTTTTCTATTGATTTACATTTTTTTTTATAAGTATTATTTATTTACTTTTATATTTATAGTTACTTCTGTATTACTTGTATATACTGTATGAATGAGAACTTTTAGCCTTAATACTTATAGCCCTCCAACAGTGGCTGATTGTATTATTATTCAATAAAAATAAAAATAAAAAAAAAAATAAATAAATAAAAAATATTCCTAAGATAAAAAAAAAAAAAACATCCCTTAATGAAGCCAACAAATATATTTATAGCCTATATATTCTGTCTAACTACATTTTAAGTGAACGAAAAATCAATTGGGTAATAGTAAATAATGTAAAAAAAAAAATCAAAAATAACACTGAGTGGATTGTTTAGATTTATGTTTCTAATTGTGGCGATGAAAAACTATATAAATGTATCCTTATGGTAATACAATATTTTTTCTTGGTTATGCTACATTAACTATGTAAACTGTTGCAGAGATATTTTCTTTGTTTTAAGAGTATTTTATTGTATTATTTACTATAGATATCTTAACAATCTTCCTTTTAGTCTGATGCTCATTTCTGTTTTACACATGAGCACTACAGCGAATCTTTATTACATGAGCATAGAAGTTGAGTTTTATTTAAATACGATAGGGAAAAGACATCCTTGTCTGGGACATATGCATCTTCTCCGTGTGCGACCTCTCCAACTAGTTCCAAGTTAGCAATCTCTGCACTGCTCCTGAATTCAAAGAAGGAAGCGTCTTTTTATTGTTTTAATGTTTTTTTGCTCCTAGGAGACATGTACAGCTGCATTGTATTAAATAAATTCGGACCAATAAATAACAATACTTTCAAAAAATTAATAGAAAAATCGCTGAATGTTAAATGGAATTTTTTCCAATTATTTGGAGTAACTGAGTTATATTCATTACTTGATTTTTCGATTCGTTGAAAGTATAAAAGGTTTACAGGGGATTGAGATTATTGGAGAGGAATCTGAACTCAGCAGTTTAAGAGATAAAAGGGTACTATTGGAATATATGCTCGTACATATATACCTACCCCCTTAAGAAACATGGAGTAGACGTTCCTTACAATCATAACCCATCGATCTCAACTCCAATAAACTTTACACACATTGGTTTATATATGTTTATTACAGCAAACACAGCTGGCCAGAATAATGATAATCACTCCTATATAATTTCATCTTTGTAGTTGTAGATACAATCATCCCTATATAGAAGAGAAAATTCTCTATTTATTTCCTATCAAAGTGCTAAGCTATTTAACTTCAAATAGAGACTTTTCAATCTTTAAACGAAGTCTGAGAAATATCTGCCAAACGTAACATATTTTAATTAACATATTTCCTCTGATAGAACTGATTTCTTCAGTAAATCTTCGATCATTTGTCCTACCTCTTTTTGAAATCTTCAATTCATCTTTCATCGTCAATACTCATTCACATTAATTTATTCCTTCATTACTAGATAATTGACAAGAGCGCATTTGTTGGCATTAAGAAAGTCTGGACACTTTAATTACTATTAGGGATTTGAGTTTCCGAAACTATTTATTTATATCTTCTTTAATTCAATGTTTTATTACAAAAAAAAAGCTTCTGAAAACTGGTTTTATTTTTTAAAAAGAGAAAAATGTGTAGTCAATGACCTTTAATTGTTTTAAAAACTTTATCACCTTTAATTTTGGGAAACTTAACCTTACAAATCTTCGATAATTTTAAATCACCATAAGAAAAATTTTCTATTAATAATTACAAAGTTAACAGGACAGAACTCCAATCTATGATTTTCTAGTTCACAGATTAAATAAACGATGTCCATCCAAGTTTTTCATATACAATAGTGTTTGACAAAGCAAAAAAATACCTTTTTTTAAATTTTCAAATATAATTTATGGAAAAAATAGAATAAGCTGAGTCTAGTGGAGAACAGCCCTTTTAACATTTAGTGGTTCAAAAATTCACCAGTCTTTTGACATGTGCATTTTTAAAAAGTGTATAATTGTTCTTAAATGTGAAAACTATACTGATACCCCATTATGTCATTAGAGTTTGTTTGATTTTAAGAGCGTTGTAAATTGTAAAAATTAAACATTCCATCTTAAAATAACATATCATACCTCTTTAAGGTCGTGTTGCGAGAATGTATTGAAACAAAATACCATCCAGAATCAGTTGAGAGGGCTGACTGACTGTTAGACTGCTAGTTATAAAAAGTTGAAAAGAAGCATCTCAGAAAAAAAATAAAAGAGCTCATACTTATAGACAATAATTAACCAGTAAAGTTTAAATTAGACATGTATAACATCTTTTATTGGTTGATACTGCATGATTCAGGATATCATATTAATTTAAATGATTATCATACACATTTAAATCAACAAATAAAATAATTAACATGTCACTACGATTATAACGCATTAATATTGCCTGTTTCCTTGTAGTTCCCCGTTTAACTGTACGGATCCTTCATACACGGCTCATGAAATCTCAATCAAACTTATTTTCATCATTTCAAAAATTCTAGTTCTTGAAAATATTTATTGAGATTTCACTTAAAAAAAAAAAAAAAGAAAAAAAGATAGTACTCCTGTCATAGGCAATCAACAGAACCCTCAGAATATTAATCAGTGAGCAATTAATATGCCGTCCGAATCCCACGATTCATTTCAAGATAAGATAGTTTAGGTCTATGATCATCCACTATGCATACTTTATATACATATGCATAAGCTAATTCATACTTTTAAATTTACTATATTCAATCTAAGTTGACATTGGATTAATTTTTGGCGTTACAGAATTTCGGATGAATACTTGAACTGCAGTCTTAAGTTACATCAAACGTAATATAGTATTTAAATAATTATTAAAATAGATTCATTATAACGTTCTGGATTATAGAGAGCCAAAAAAATACCAATAATCATCTATAATAAAAAAAAGATCATTTAATTTGTATAAGTAATATTATTTGCTTGAAGCTATATCGAAACATTAAACTAGAAAAATTTAAATACTACTGAGGCAATAATTAATCGAGATTAACTGTACTTAATAACAAAATACTCCTAAGTACCAGGGCTACCACGGGATACTTATCAGATGTCGTTTAGACTTCTACAAATTAAAATATTGGTATTGCTTGTAGTCTGAGATAAGCCTATAATGTATTGAAAACATAAACAAAGGAGAATAATAGTTCCGATAGTTCTTGACCATTAACCAATCGTGTGTGTTGAATAAACTTTCTTGATAAAAGAAAAAGGTATCGTTTACTCTTCAAATATATTAAAGAAGAGAGAGACAGATAAATAATGCATGAGTTCTGGCTCACGTATACTTGTCACAGTGTAAACCTTCGGGAAGGGCGGTTAGTTTATTGATTAAAATAATCCTGAAACGACAATGTAGTAATTATCATTTATTATTAACTATTTTTCTTGAGTGATTAATTTTTTTTCCTACGGAGATTGCAGTTCGCAGTTTATCCAAGTACTTGGTGGAAGAATTTTTCGTCAATTTCTGAAAAATAAGACTGATTCAGACCAGCACTTTAATTTACTAGCTTATAGTAAATTATGATGTAAGGAATATAAATCAAATACGACCCTTAGATCGAAACGGATATGTAGATAAGTTAAATATACTGAGCTATGTTAAATATGTAAATTAAGTTAGGATTCCAAACCGACTACTAGGCATTATATAAAATGTAAATTAATGTAGTTTATAGTTTCATTGTAGTAAGAATGTCCAATAGTTTTTATAATTGTTTTTTAAACTATATGAAATAAAAAATATAAAAATCTGGTGCCCGAAACACACACAACTTTCACTTACAGGCTCTAATTTGAATAGAAATCATTTTCTGGCATTTTTGGGCTATTATAAAATTTTTAAGTGCATTTTAAACGGAGCTAAAGCTGAAAGCTTACAGGTAAAAAATCATCAAGAACATTTAAATTACAAAAAGTTTATTTATTACATAGATGGTAGGTAATACAAATCTAGTTACTCCATCTGCTTTTATAAGCCACACAACTTTAGTCTTTGTGCCTTTCAGTTGACAGAATGACTTACTCCAATTTCAACATTTTGAGTAATTCCATTTTAGTGAGTTTCTAGTTGGAAATATCTGTACAGACAGTGAGTAAGTTGATTCCAGAGTAGGTGATTGCAGTGTTGAAATATAGAACTGTGAATAAAGATATCAATTTTGCAACTAGAATTAATCACTAAAATTAATAATAAACAATGTTGAAATTGGAGTTAGTCATTCTGTCAACCGAAAGGCTCATATATGCATAGAGAAATTTGAAAGTATTGTATATCTAAATATTTAACCTATAAATTATTATGGATTGTAGGACTATTAGTTATTAAACTGTTATTTTCCATTGTAAAGTTTACTAAAATGAAATTATGAGTGGGATTTCACAAATGGAAAATTCATCAAATTATTCACTAATTTAATTTTCTAAAGGGTTCGTTCGACTTTTGTTTTGTTTTTTTGCTAGACTGTTCACATACACACACGCGCACAGACCATTTGGCGGTACTTGGTTATTTGGACTATGGGAACCTCAAAACATGCATTTTCGTTGAAAAATCGGATTCGAATATTTTCACAATCGTAATACTTTCCCTTAATATATACTCCATATATATTGGTGAAAGTAAAAAATATATGAGTATATATATTTCAGCATTTCAAATACAAGTTTGCACAATTAATGGTTTGTAATAAAAACCAGCTTTAGTACCCTCATTAGAGACTGAGCTACTGAATTCCCATCCCGGTGACGCGACTGAGAGAGAAGCGCTGGGATCTCCTAGAGTCTTGACTTGTCATCCACATATGGGAAAAAGGGTCAGAATCGGAGCTCCCTCGGCTGACTGTAAGTATTCTATGAATATGTTTTTATACATTTTATATTTTTATTTAATATTATCTCAATATTAATTTCTTTAATTTTTACTAAGCTTTCTTTTTGTTATTATTTTTTTTTTTTATGGGATGTATGGTATGAATGAGTCTCACATAGCTCTAATGCTCAATGCACTAGAATGAGACAAAATGTATTATTTCTTAATAAAATAAAATTATAAAAAAATAAGTAGCAAATATATTAAAGTTTTTTAGTAAAGAAAAAAACATACATTGTGTAGGAATTACATTAACATTTTCTGGATATTAGTTACGATAATTAATTAGATGATTCGAATGTTTATTCAAAAAAAATATTTTAATTCTTTCGTTAATAAAAAATCAACTGACTTAGCTCATAGATTGTTTAGGAATGTATCATATTTCTACGTACACGCTACAAAAATAAATAAAAAGCACATTTACTTAATTTATTGATACAACATTAAAAAAAGTTTCACTAGAAGAATAGATAACAAATTGCATTGAATTAAATTAATTATTGGCCTTAGTTAAATTTCTAGGTTTAGAAAATTCACTAGAAAACAAACTATTATATTTCTTTTGTTAGGCATTTGAATCTTTAACCAAAATATTACCTAACTATCAAGATGTATAAACCTAGTTACATTTGGACCTAAACATCTGGGACCACTAACCTGTTATTTCTTCTGAGTGGACTTAACAACGACAGATTGTATTAAGAAATAAGAATTATGCTCTTTGGTCAGAAAGCGTGTCCAAATCAATAACCAGGGAAGACTAAAAAGAAGATGGATGTATGATCTCTTAAAATTGTAGTAAAAATTAATAACAAAGGTCGATGACGAGGGCAGCTCATCGCCCTCATATAATTTTTAAAATATTAATTTCACATATGCTCATTTAATTTTTCACTTTTATGATATGAGTCTGAATAAATAAGTATCAGAAAAGAATTCATGTTTTATCATTAATAATACGACGACTTTATCAGTTTTTATAAGTATAGCTGGTAGATTTGAAGATAAAATTCCATATTCTTATTACATATTATTAACACATATATTTTGAACAATACTAGCGTTATTTAAAATAAAAACTACCTGAAATGTCTATGTAAACTTATTTAATTGACTACAAGAGCCGACCTTTAGCTGTAAACAATTACAGTAGTGTCTTCTGCTAGTGGTGGGGATGGCAGGGTGGCTGAGGGACTATATATACTCCCGCCGGGGCAGTCAACAGATGCAGTCCAAAGTGATCAGTGTATTCCAGACATGTTTAAGGTGATCATACTTACTTTTATATTTTCTTAGCTTCCTCATAACTATTTCTTTATATTATGACTCAAAAAACGCGTTAAAAAATATTAACCTTAGGGCTATTAAGAGTACAGAGTATACATTATGGTAAAAATATAAGAAGTACGTTTTGTTGATAAAGAAAATGTTTACACGGTTCGTTAAATGTCGACGAAAAAAAAAGTTTATAAATGGTATCGCATTTTATCGTGATAAAATATAACTTATAGCAGGATTTATTCGCCCTAAGATACAGTGTAGTGATTTTACATTTTTTTTAAAGCAAATTTTTAATTTAAAAATATAGATTTTTATAAGGTTTGGGTCTTTTGGAAATACGCTTATTGAAAACCACATCAACTACAAAAACTATTGAAATAAAGAGTTTATGATTCTATGAATCCAGTTTTCAAGACTTAAATTCAGGATTTTTATTTAGCATTTAATGGACCTGATGATTTCACTCAATAAATACCTATAACTTCAAAATCTTCAATAGATAAGTTTTTATGGGTTAGCACCCTTATAACTTGATAATAGAAAGTTGCTCAAAATTTTAAAAATCAATATAAGTGTAGGTACTAGTTTCTTCTTTTTAATAATGTTGGCTTTTCAAGCCAAATTTTCTTTTGCCTAAAATTCTAATGGCTTAACGTGGTAGAACCCGGTATTTGAAAGACCTTCATGAGTCTAAGCATAATATAAAATCAAGCGATTAAAGTATAAGTTCTACCACGTAAACTGTAAGTATTTGAGACTTTTCATCAATACTAAAGGTCCATAATACTCATTAGCTTTTCCAGTGGTATTTTTTACCCTAAACGCTTTATGACCAGATTAAAAAAATCAAGTAATTATTCTTAAAATACTTTTTTTTTTTTATTTTCTCTGTGTATTTTTAAATTATTCGACAGTGTACTGTTCGCATAGATCCTAAAAGTTTACACTTCATTTAGTAATAAATTATCTTGATTTTGATCACTTATTAAGTCTGCAATATCTGTATGACCATTAATGCAAGCATAAAATAATACTGGAGTTGTGCTTAGAAATTTCATATTTATTTTTTTGAATATCCTCAAAGTAATAATTCAAAAAATAGAATTAATCTATGGCTCAATATCCCATCAAGCCTCCAAAATTGCTACCAATTGTGTAGTTTGCAATTAACGTTGTTGATGACTAGAAAATTGTAATTGTTTACAGTCGATACTACGTTTTCTAGGTAGATATAGGTACCTATAGATCTAAACATCTCGGATCTCAGGTACTCGAAGGATAAAATCTGTCCTTTACCAACACACATAATGGTCACTAGCATAGTTTAGAGAGAAGTGTTAGAATTTAGCGGATCGTTAATCTGATAGCATCTATCTCGAAAAATCTACTTCGATGCTTAAGGTGATCATTAATAGGTTGTTAAGACGAGGAAATTCCTCGTTTCGGTAGCAGATCTCGAAGAGGTAACTCACAAGGTCATCTTTATTTTCATTAAAGGAAATGATAATTGGGTTGCCAGCACATATCTGATAACTGCAGAATAGAGGTGAACTCCTACACGAAGAAGATTTCCTCTGTTCCTTAGTTATCATGTTCTCAGTTTGCTATTCAGGCTAGGAGGTTTTTGATAGATAGTCTACTAAATTGTAAATTATGTTATTATAATATTACTATAAATTATTGTATAACTTGGTAGATATTAATACTAAATGTTTTGTTTGTTTACAGTTTGTGCTTGTTGCTTCTCTCCTGGCTTTGGCCGCTGGTGCACCCCAAGGACCATCCACCGAGCCGATACCCATCATCAAGTACGTCAACGAGGTCAACTACGATGGAACCTACAACTGGGAGTAAGTTCAAAAGAAACGTTACAAATAAAGTATAGGAATTTATAACAAAAAGAAAAAATAACACAACATTTTATACAATACTGCTATTGCATATATAATATAAATGTTTTTTCTGTTAAAATTTTCGAAATTATCTAATATCCTACACGTCAAAAGCCAATAAATACATACGGACTTACTATCATTAATACTCCGACAAATAGAAAGAACTTTTTTTGACATTTTAATACTCTGACTCTAGTTGGTTACAATTGATAACGCTCTCCTTCAGGGCTTGCTTAAAATATTCATTTTCAAACCTAGTGTTTTCATATTTGTTTTTCTTCAACATAAAAACAACATAATGGATAAAGTACAGGAGAATATAGCATATCGATAATTAAAAAACAAACTTCCAAACAACGAGGAATTCATTGTAAATCATTCGGTAAATCCAATGAAATCAACTGTCAATAATGTTGCAAACAAAGTTGAAGCTGTAACTTTCATTGGTACTTTTTTGTAGTTACAATCCTATCAAACAATACCCAGCCAAGTTGTCAAATTTTGTAAATTGCAATGTTGTATATGTTTCAATGCGTTACTTCAATGTTTTAAAGTAACACTAGAGGTAGGTAACACGGTTATATTTTAAATTAATACATACACTAGTCTTAATCTGGACTGTTTTTCATCCTCCTAGAAAGAACAAAATCAATTGTATTTATTCTGATTATATGTGATCGCTTTAATTGTAATTACTCAAAATTAGTTAAATGGTAACACTTGTGACAGAACTGATATTGCCCAGAGTTAAACACCTGCTGAAATATTTTTATAGTATTTAGATACTGATAAATACTGTTAATATATTTCTGCTTATGAGATGCACCTACGGTATTTTGTCATTCCATAAAAGCGAAGAAAATTGGTAAACGAATTAATTTAACCTGTTGGACATACGAATTATAATTTTCGATGTAATGCACCCAACTTTAGGTATGTGGAGTAAAATTTGATATCGGTATTAAAAATAGATTAATTTTGTATTGGGGTTTCGAAAATCAAATAAACCGTGAAATAAAACCTGTTATGGAATAAAAATTATTAAAGAAACAAAACAAAAAAGTGTATTCATTTACAAACTCATTGGAAATTGAACTTACAAAAATACAATATAAGGCACTCCTGAAAAATCAATTAAAAGAAAAAAAAAAATATATATATATATATATATATATATATATATATATATATATATATATATACATATACGTATATATACATACATAACAGAAGTTTGATTAAAGAAAAATTGTTTTATGTTTTTGGAATGGAGTTATCATTCAATTTTTGGAGCCCCCTTGTTTAGTGTCCGCCCACCCTACAAACGAGACGACACTGTCCATTCTAGCAATGAATTAAAACGCATTGGTTAACGAAATAATTTAATTGATTAAATTTAATGAAGTGGTCAAGTTCAAGTTAAATATAGTTAATTGGTCTAGATCGGAATCGGTCAGATAAAACACCAAACCAGCACTACAAAGCGTTGCTCCATTCAGGTATCAAACTTATTATGAAAGGCAAGATATAAGAAAATATTTAAATTAATGTGTAACAATTAAAATTAAAGTAAAAAACTATGAGTACATATTTAAGGATTAGGGTGTCCAACCTCGTCCTCATTCGGAATTTACATGCGGTCGGTTATGTAAAGTTTTGTTATAGGATTTTTTTTCCGATTTTTTGTATTTAAAACAATAATAATAACAAGTTGCCTGACTGGGATGGCCGGATATTTTAGACACGGCATGTTGATACAGGAACAAAATTGAAATCCCAGTACATACATCTTAGTATGTAAATAGCGATTATTGACAGCTTTCATTATATTCTTAAAGTTTAAAATAGAGAAAAATATTTCTTAAAGAAAAAGAAGCAATGTTATATGGAACCAATTATTGAAAAGATAATTGAGTGGCGGTGCAGTCGTGGAATGCACTATATACCGAGCTCTATGTTACGCCACTCATGAAAAAAAAACGTTGAAAACTTGTTTTAGGAGGAAGTTCAACTTTCTTATAGTATCAGGTTTAAAGACAATCTGGTCATCAACGAATTCAAAGAAGTCTAGAATGACTAGCGAAGTCTATAATGACAAAGCTTTTTTAGAAAACTTTTAAGCTGTTTTGATCTTAAATCATATACCGTATCCAGTCTTCTTTTATTGGAAACCAAGGTTATTGAAGTTAAAGCGTTTTCCTTATTATTTTAAGCAATTTATTTCGTTAAAAAATGTTGTCTATTTTCTACTCTAAAAACTCTAAAATGTGTAAATAAAAAAAATCACTATGTTAGATTTAAATTGTTTTCATAATAGCGATGAAAACTGTTTTATATTATTTCTCTTCTATTGTAAATTCATCAAGGTTTGTTGATATTTTTTTTTAAGTTTACGTTAGTGAATTTTGCAAATTTTAGAATTCTTGCAATAAAATACGATTGCGAAAAAACGAAGTGCTGAGGCGAAGGGTTGAAAAAGAATCTGAGTCCTATCGCGGCTGATAAGTTTAGTCGCTAAATTTACATACGACGAAGACGTCATTTACATATGATTTAGCGCGTATCTTGCGAAATGTTTTCGTAGTTTCTATTGCAGTAGGAGTGAATGCACTTAGAGTATGCGGGATATAATTCTGTACTTCACAATTTGCTTTGGTAATTCTTCTATCAGAAAATAAAATATTCTTGGGATACACCCTTGGTTTTTTTTCAAAGATGTAAATGGGATTTATAAAAACGGAATGATACATGTATGGTACATTGTGATATGAGGAGAAATTATGAATGATATACTATAACCAGTTCTTTCAATATTATTTTAGTGTTTGTTATTCAATGAACACATAAAACAAACTTATAGAAATACATCTTGGTATGCAGATAAATTTAAGAAATTGATTCGAAACGACCAAGAACTGAGAGGAGAGATGATATCTCGTGACATCACTTAGAAGCGAGCAGTACATTAGTATTGTTTGTTCTTTTTATTCATCCCAGGCTGATTGGTACAAGGGCACAGGGAGGGAACAAAAAGTAAAACGAACAATCAGGATGATGTTCCGAATGGAAAATGTTTAGTTTCTGCGCAGTGGTGGAGTCACGTGCTGGCAATCTTTAACTCAGGGATTTCCTCAGTTGTTGGCTTAGGTTTTCGGATTCTGGGCATAGATTTCACTTGTCAGAAAATATTTACATTATCGATGCTAAATTAAATCTAATATGCCATAATCGATTACGTAACGATTCACAATTATTAGCTCATGTAAATTGCTCCTCACCTAAAAGCCTGGGATTATACTTTCAGGGACAAATGGTAATTGCGATCGATGTTTATTTACACTTCGAATCATCCATTAGTAAATTGTCTGTCATAAATTCCATTTATCTATACATCATCTTTAAATAAATATATAATTTTTACAGTTTTTTTTTTTAAATTCAAAATTATCATTTAAAAACATTCGTGGTCATAAATATTTCCTTGTGCAGAGTTACATTTGGAAATTGTGGAATGATAGATATATACATAGGCTATTTTCTGAGAGATTGGACTATTTGATCACTCGCAAGATGGTAGAAACGTTATTATTATAAATGTGTTGTTTGATTTTTCTAGATAACAAGTAAATCGTCGTTCATTGAAAGTTAACAACCTAATGTACAACTAGAACAGGAAGGGTGGTATTTCACCTAGGTTGCCAAGACGTTCTAATAAGAGTGAGAATACTTTGTCTTCCGAAAAACCTTATTAAAAGGCTAAAGCCAAAATTCGTTCTTGATTCGATTCCGAGACTCACTGAATATAACGTTTTGGCTTTTCCACCTTTAAAAAAATAACAACGAATATTTATATATACATATATATATGTATGATATTATATCTCAAAAATATAAGGTACAAAAAGTGTATACGTTTTAAATTTTTAGGAAAGAGAATTTTTCAAATAACCTAAATTATTAAACTCTGCAAATAAATGATATAATTTTCCTATATGTTACTTACTGACGTTTTGCAACCAAAGATAATATATATATATATATATATATATATATATATATATATATATATATATATATATATATATATATATATATATATATATGAATTGTCTACATTTATTGAAATAATTAAAACTAATGCCTTTGAAAGAGTATGTCATGTTGTGAGTAAAATTTTTAATCATTGATTGATTCCTTTAAAAATTATTATTGTTCAAATTCCTATTAGATTTGTTTATAAAATGGTAGGATAATATACATTTCATTGGCCGCCAATTAAATAATAAATATTAGTCATGAAGATCAATAAAATCTGAAAATTACCACCTCAGGGCTGCTTAGGTAACTTATGGCATAATTCATGCCTATAAGGCTCTTAGCAAGGACGTCACGTTGCAACAAAAACCGCTGAGGCTAAGTGAGAATGATGGGTTTTTTTCATCATTGGTAATAATTCTTGTTTATTGAGTATTCTTGTGATAGTACCAACATATATTTTTAAATAGAAATTTCTTAGGTTGATATTTACAATTTGCATACTATCTATAATGAACAAAATTGTTACGTTTGTTACTTAAAAAATGTAACAAGTCCCATTTAAAATAAATTATGAAAAAATATTGTAAATAATGCATGCATGGATTATACCATTTATCTATCTACCAGGTAAGAAAAAATATATTTTAAAAAAGGAAGATGTATCAATTATAAATAATTTAAAGCTTACTAAAAATTTATAGAAAAAAAATTCGAAAACTTTTTCTATTACCGGTTATTAAATTCTGAAAGTTTTTAATCATGCCAGTAATCAAAATGAAATGAACTTCCAGCACAAGAAGAAGTAAATTAATAAGTAATTAATATATAAGAACATTTGCAATTTATGAAAATAAAGAACATCCCGTGGATAAATGTAATATAAAATATATATATATATAGATTTACCATATTTAAGTTTTTTTTGTTCATTTATTGTTCTTCTGAATATTGTTAATACATTTTTATCCATTGTTAAATTTAGGATTACAAAACGCAAAAGAACAATCCTTAGATTTTTTTTTGCCTAGCTCAAAAAAACTATTCTTACTCATTCCTTGACCAAATGCTGACCTGTACACTAACAAGGACATCTTATAATTGAAAATAGGAAGGCCACGTTTAGGGACCAATTTCGCTACCTGAGGACGAGTGGAGCACGTTCCAGAAAGTTGTAAACTGTTGTTGTTTACATTCCCAATCTTTAGTCAGTTACAAAAAGGCTTGTCCTCATTATATATTTTTTTTCTATATTACAACAACATTAATATATAATAATAAAAAAACTAATAAAAACCGTTCACTCAAATAAATAACAATAGCTAACATGTTTACCATCTACATGTTTAACAATATCATTAGAATTCAAGATAACAGAAGTAATATTATTAATGAATTTTGGGAAAAAACGCAATATGAAGACAACCGGAATCTGCAAGGCCTTTAAAGTAATCTCATTGTCTCAGGTGCAAAGTAAAAGACAACTCTGTGACGGCAAAATAACTTAAGTACTTAGATAAATCGTTGCTTTCCTGGATTGTGACCCTGATTTAGTCGACCGTTAAAGTCACTTAGGCGGCCAGATTCCTCTGGCATTAAAGTCTCCAGCACGAAATAATCCTGTTGTCTGTTGTATTGAGTAGTTACCCAATCTCAAAAGAGTGTTTCGATTTTTAGATTATAACGCTGATTCTTTCATTTACTAATTCAAAATAATTACATGAGTGTTTCATCTAACAAACTGAAAATCACTTTGGTTTAACACATTTTTTTTTAACAAGAAATAATCTTAACAAGAAATCAGCACAGACAAAAATAAACTAAAAAATAATTGTATGCTACAAACCCGGTGACAGTAAGCAATCTGCCAAGAGAGCGGTGATCGTGTCGCGAATTCCGATTACGCCTTCCTCTACTCTCACCGCTAACCTAGAACTTGGTCATGAAAACTTCGTTTTGGTTCTTGAGACAGGTTTGCATTAATATCTTGCTTATTTAAAGGAATTTTTTCAAATATATATATATATATATATATATATATATATATATATATATATATTTTTTTTTTTTTTTTTAATATTTACCAAATGTGATATGTATAATTACTTTTTAAATTGAAAATTCACCAATGTAATAAGAATGCTATATTTTTTTCTTAAAACCACTCACTAAGATTTAATACATATATTATTACATCTTACCATATGAACATTAAAAATTGTGAGAAGACTCCTTGAACATTATGACCGTTGATTTTAAATAATAGACTACAAATGCTTACTACTGATCTAAATTTCAACATAATCTATCAGCGAACACTATCTACATATCTGTGTATTCTCGTATTTTTTAATCTCAATATATCTATATCAATACCGTTTCATCTTTTCTTATTTGTTTATTTAATTTCCAAAATGTATGTGTTTAATTTTAATTAAATAAAATATCTAATTACAAAATGACTGTTAGAACCAGTTGAATTCAGTACTAGTATTCTTTAAGCAACTATTCCGATATAAACGGAAACTATTGTCTATCGAAGAGAGCACCATCACATGCAAAATAGCAGTAGCCTCAATATCGTGTCTCTAATGTTCTTTATTACATGGTTGAGATAATAATATGCATTTATCGGATTCACTCTTCCATGCGTTAGCCCCTATAAGGTTAGAGTCATTCAGGTCAAACATACCCGTCTTACCTTGTACCGATATCCAACAATCGTGTTGTAGTGTTGTTGTTTACTTTAATTATCCATGAAAGCTTCTGTAATATATATATATATATATATATATATATATATATATATATATATATATTGTCGAAATTGAAAACAGGTGTAGAGGATGAAAAAGATTTCATTAATTTAGTTCATAATGTTTAATTTATCATAATTTAGTTCATAATGTTTAATTTGTCATCTATGTCTAATTATTATTTACTCATCCTACAGGTACGAGGCTGGAAACGGTATCTTAGCGCAGGAGAGCGGCAGCGTAGCCGGTCCAGAGTCAGGAACCGCCGCCCAGGGCTCCTTCAGCTACCAAGGACCAGACGGACCCATCTCCCTCACCTACACAGCTGACCAGAACGGCTTCGTCCCACAGGGCGCTCATCTCCCAACCTCTCCTCCAATCCCACCAGCAATCCAGAGGGCTCTCGACTACTTGGCCACTTTGCCATCCACACCCGAAACACCACAGAGGAGGTACTAAGTCTGCCGCTGAGACTGACTACGATCGTCAGAACTACAAATTGTCTGTCATATGCATTGTAAATAACTTCAATAAACGTTAACCATTTTCTAATTTTTGCATATTCTTTACCATTTTCTTATATTTGCAATTAAAAAGGAAGATTTATTAATATTTTGAAGGCGTGAGGCAGTTCAGTGAAGCTATATGCACTACCTCGTACATCTACTGGATATTTATTTCAGAAAATTTAAAAAAAAATCTTACTTTACGTTTCTTTATTATTAACTCTATTTTCGACGTTTCGAGCTTATATCACCCATTATATTAAGCATTCGTGTTTCTTTGAAGTTTTGTCTTCATAATTCTCCAATACATTCTTTGTATTTGTTAGGCATAAACTCACAAGTTTATTTAGTATTACTCTTTTTATGATAATATTATTGAAATATTCACTTATTCTTTTCTCACAAGGTTCCACCAAAGTCCTTATAACGAGAGAGAGAATCACTTTATTATCATAAAATAAAATGGTGCTGCCCAATTACATTGGGTTGCTAAAAACACAGCATACTTATTAATCACTACAGACATTATTTAAAATTATTATACAATTATATAGGATTAACAATATGTATGAGCATAGTATACAATATTTTATACATATATGTATATATATATATATTTTTTTTTTCCTTTTTTTTTTATTTTTTACTATTTGTTTCATTCATTTATTATCATTCTGTACCCTTTCTCTTCCTTCTCTCCCCCTATACATGTTCCTCACCACATTCTCTCCTCTCTCTTTCTAACCTTATATATAAAAAATACATAAAGTACAGTGGACGTGTTCAATAAATAATAATATAAAGGCATGCGTGTGTTACAGCATTTTTATATTATTATTATTTACCCCCTCCCCATGAACAAACCCTCTCCCTATCCGCTCCCATGCACATGGTGGTAAAACCGATTTTTCTTCAAGTAATTTACAAATCGTAAATATTGTTAAGTAATACTTGTTACTAATTAATTTTTGTAATTAATGGTGAATAAAAGTTTTCATCGGGGATAAAACGGTTCAAAGTTTTTTCAAGAATTCCATCACCACATTATATATAAATAATTGGAACATTGAATCAATTGAACTTTGAATTGTGATCTTAAAAATACAGAAGCTCCTCATGAGCTCTTTGGTTATCCATCATCCTTCAATCGTCATTGCTTCACTGATCATATTGTCATTAATTCACAAATTTAGTCTTAAGGAATATAATTCACTTTGTGTGATGCTGAAATAGTAGCATTAATAAAAAAATATTTTAAATCCTTTTAAACGTTAATACTACTATTTTCAAATATAGTTCTGATCATTTTCTGTGAGTGAGATATCTCTTAGGATATATACTTCGAATTGCAAATAGGTTTGTTATGCTAAATTGAATGGAGTAATACACAGCTAAAGCATGAAGTAATTCATAAAGGCTTAATAAAATGTAATTTCAAGCTTATACGATATGATTTAAAAGCTATAAATGTATTAAAAAAGAAAATTTGTATCATTAGATATCCTTAAAATCATAAGAAGCGTGTAAATATTCGCTTAATTATGTTATTCGCGCTCATAACTCATCCTTGAACTAAAGTAGAAAATGCAATATAATAACAAAAGTACAGATTTATAAAATTCTCTAAATCTCCTCCATTTTTGAGGTGTATCAATGAAAATATGTTTCCGCATCCGCAGTAAAAGTAGGGGAAGGAATTTTATGAAATTGATGCTGAACTTTAAATCATTTTTTTTTTACAAATCTCTAACTATTCTCTAATTTTGGGTCAAATGGAATGAGCCGTTTTTAAAATATAAACATACCTAGCAAGAATAATGAGTTTGGATATGAGTGGTCTTTTAAATACAGACATCTGTCATTTTCAAGGAGTAGAGAAAAAGCCAATTTTTGAAACATAGCTTCAATTAAAACCAATTCTAATGGTTAATTTTTATTATTCAACTTGAACATTCTTCAATAAAACCATTAAAACAAATTGAATTGAACTTGTAAAAAAAAAATTGATTTTTACACCACTTTCCAGTGTAAAATTGACAGAAATTCTGAAAATGAAAAATTTCTTATTTTGTATGAAGACATTATATCCACGAAAAAGTAGAAAACATAGCTCAATAATATTAATATGGCACTAGTTGTTTCCCCCATAATTAACTACAACATTAATTTGACCTACAAGCAAAACAATAAGCCGTTTGTGGAATATAGGCATTTCTTAGAAAATAAATATTTAAATGATAATATAAAATGGAATTTAGTGGAATTGATAGAAGGATAGAAAATAAACTTTATTCTGGGATGAGGTCCCTTATGAATAACAATTATGAACAAAAAAATAAAAACCACATCTGGCCAAAAATGACATTAATCGACATTAAAGAATGTATACAGTATCTGCAGAGAACGTTTATTAAAATTTAAAAAAAGTAACACCATTGTGAAAAAAAACATTATTTAAATGAAAAGAAAAACAGAAATCAGATAAAAAATAAAAACAATATAATATAAGCTGTTTTTATAGAATAATATAAGTTGATTTTTAAAATTAAAACTCAAACAATTTCAAAAATCATTCACCTCAGTCAAAATCTGTTTCATAATATTTATTTGTGATGATATTGGATTGTAGTAATATAGGAAGAACCAGTTTCTGAACATTCATTCAAGTCGGACAGAAGATTGAAGATATACCCGATTAATGGATTTGACTGCATATAAAAATTTGTTTCCTCGGTGAGTCTACAAAGTAAACGGTCTCTCCCCGTTCCTCCATGTAACAAAGCCTTGTGCCACAAATGTTATCCTTACTTAAATGTTATCCCTAATCCTTAAAATTCCCTCGGGCAGTGGAAGGGCCTTGTTGTTTGTATATATATATTGCCATACTTATATATGTAATTTAATTAAATAAACTTTTTGGGGGATTAGAAAAAAAAATCTACTAAGTAAATTGTGAACTTTTTTACTCTGAGGAAAAAATATTTTGTTTTCTTCCACATGTAAACGAAGCTTCCTTGTCTTCAGTAATGAGAAAACAAAATATTTATGTTTTAGAAAATAAATGCTAAATTATTATTCTGAATGTATATAGATAATAAGCAAAATATTACTAGCAGTATTTTCATAAAATCATGAGGTATGAAGTAAAATATGCTGACACAGATAGAAGGATATCGTGACGACAATTATGTGATTAGCATGCGGCTCTTGTATCTTCCTACTTGTGCATTAACCTTCGATGGTAATTACTTTTACAGCATCAATAGCTGATATTATTCTAAACAGCCGATAATTGTTGGATAACGGTTGCCTTATGTATTCGTAGCAAGTGGCACCAATGTTCTAAAAAGAACTAATGTAGTTCATTAATTATTTTAAGTGATTTGTATATTGATCAGTCAAAAATGTAAACATTAGGAGTTAAAAATAATAATTATTATGTTACCGCTTTAGTATTCAATTTGATAGATTGTAATATCTCTCAGTAAAGAATTCAAGTAGACTTCGACGAGATACGTGCCCATCAGTTTATATCGCTGAGAGCGAAATTCCTCAGAGAAACATTACCGTGGACTAATATTCGACTAAATGATGACCTGGGGCCCACATGATAAAACGAATGACTTTGAACAAGCGACCGACAATACCATACTCATTTTTTTTTCAAATAAAACTATATTCAAATACATACAAATACCTATTTAAACCTATTTGAACATACGCCTCACAGTTTTGCGGTTCGGCAAAAAAGACTCAATTACAAAAACTGAAATTGTTTTTAATCCAAAATTTTAAGACAAATAACAGTAGCGCCCCTTGTACGAAAACAACAAAACTTTACTTACCGATTTAGGTCAAACAACTATTGACCAATATATATGTACTCTTTACACCCGAATTCATATTAAACTATATGGTCACAATAATAGATGTATAACGACATGACCATGACTGGCAGCTCATCAGGAGTCAACAGAAAAGGGGCTGGTTGAGAGATCTCCTATCCTGATTTAAGAAAGTAATCAAAAACCAGAGAAGCAGTATAGGACTTCTGTGGGAGTCTTAGGCCGACGAAAAAAAAGAAAGAAGAAAAGAAAAAAAAACCAGAGATGTTAGTAGTAACCAGAGAAGATGTGCTACTGGGTACTATTCTTCGTAATTCTTAAAATGTCATTTTTTAACATATTAACAAATTAGCGTATTATCACTTTCAACAAGGGTGCGGATGGAGATTTAAAGATAAAAAAAAATGTTATTTATTGATAATACCATAGAATAATAATGGTTGTATATAGAAAGAAAAAGCAAAACCTCCAGAAAAGAAAAAAATATCAAAAGTAGTAAAGAAAAAGTACTGAATTTTTATATTAAAACATACAAAATATATACATACCTTAAAGATATAATAAAGGCAGAGGATGAGCAATGGGACCACAATATTGTATTATCACGGCTTAAGAGAAATAAAATAAGTATTTTATGGGAAATACAATTAATTGGAAAGTTACAGTAAATTAATTTCACGAGAAAACCATTGTAGCGTCAAATATAAAAAAAAGAAAAAGAAAACTAAGTAAAAGAAAATGAATCATTTATTGTAATCTATATACAAAAACGTAGATTAAGATGGAAAAAGATAGATATGTATATATACAAATAGAGGAATGTAAAAAATGAAATACAATTTAAATATATAAAATCCTGTAACTAGAAAAAAAATGGATAAGAACAACAAACAATTTCTTCTTTTTTTTTCTTTATCACAGTGCTATGACAAAAGTAATACTGAATCTTTTCCATTTCATAAGCGGAAATGGAATAAGAGGGGTTTGAACGTGGATAAGGATGGTGTAAAGCGGATTAATTTGTATTGCATTTTTATACAATGTTGTGCTAAAGCTGTGGTATTAATGTTTGTTTATGTTTTTCAGTTAGAGATATGATCAGTTATTCTGGTTTTGAATTTTTCGATGTTTAACCTATGTAAATTTGTTGGAAATTTTGGCAGTTTAATTTGTCTATTACATTTTTTTTTTATCTGTTGTATCTTT